AGACATCCTCATTGTCCAAATCTATGTGGATGATATTATCTTTGGTGGGACGTCTCAGAAGATGGTAGACCAGTTTGTTCAGAACATGACTCAGGAGTCTGAGATGAGTATGTGTGGTGAGTTGAAGTTCTTTCTTGGGCTGCAGATAACTCAGACAGATAAAGGAGTCTTCATCTCACAGAGTGCATATCCTCACAGTTTGGTGAAACGCTTTGGTATGGAACACAACAAGGAATCTAAGACACCGATGAGTACTTCACTGAAACTTGCACGAGATGAAGCAGGAGAAGATGTTGACAATACGCTCTACAGAAGGATGATTGGTAGTCTGTTGTATTTGACAGCTAGTCGACCAGATCTCTCATTCAGCGTAGGAGTGTGTGCCAGATATCAATCAAAGCCTAAGGTGTCACATCTAAATGCAGTCAAGCGAATCATCAAGTACGTCAAAGGAACTGCAGATCTAGGAGTGTACTACTCAAGAAACTCCAACGAGAATTTGGCTGGGTACTGTGATGCAGATTGGGCTGGGTGTGCTGATGACAGAAAAAGCACGAGTGGAGGTTGTTTCTTTCTTGGAAATAATCTTATTTCTTGGCTAAGCAAGAAATAGAATTCTGTCTCACTTTCTACGGCAGAAGCTGAATATATTGCTATGGGTAGCTGTTGCTCACAACTTCTTTGGATGAAACAAATGTCAGCTGACTATGGAATGCAGTCTGGTCCCTTTCTAGTATATTGTGACAACAAAAGTGCTATTGATATCTCTAAGAATCCGGTCCAGCACTCAAGGACGAAGCACATTGACATCAGGCACCACTTCATCAGAGAATTAGTTGAAGACAACCAGGTAGTAATCGAACATGTAGTTACCGATATGCAGTTGGCTGATATTTTCACTAAATCAATTGAACTTAATCGCTTTATTAAATTAAGGAATGCTATCGGTGTGTGTAATCTTGATTGATTGAGTCAGGTTGTGCAGAGATTGGTACAGGTACAGGTTCATGGTGTACATACGATTCGGATTTTGTCTGGAACCTAAGAACGCTGTGGAAAAGAGCTACTTGGCTTGCCGTCAACTCTGTAAGGTACAGGTTTTGTGAAAATCTGTGGCTCTCTTACCCCGAAAAGAAAGGGAAGCAGTTAGAAAAGCTCAAAAGAGAACAGCTGAACAAGAAAATGTGTTACAATGTAAAGCATACAATCATGGGAGTTTCACAGCGCACGAATAAAGGTTGAAAACCTACAGGGTTGATGAAGGCATGACAATGTGAAAGCTAGCCATAAACGAGAATTGGGTGTGCCAGATCATAACAATCTAGAAGAGTCGTATGTGCACACTGAATCAGGTTTTGAGCTATCTTGTGCAGCACATCATGAACATAAACTGGTAATTAACATGATTTTTTTACTTTGAGATTCAGCCAATTATGCATGGTAATTCATCATAGATTGCTATTTTGAGTGTCTAATGATACATTATTGATTCACGAATGTGCCTGAGGCTAATATGCTTGGATGAGAGATGTTACTAATGTTGTAGGTATATTTGTGAGAGGAGTAAAAGTCAGGCACCAGAAGTGCAAAACTTAATGACGGTTGTTTCACCTAAGGAAAGTCGTGGGGCATAACCCTAGAAAATCTCCATCGTGCTTCAGAAGTTTATAATAATCGCCTCCACCTCCAAATTCTCTCCATCTCAACTAAAGGAATCCGAATCAAGATGGGAAGATCAACGAACTCTGCTAAAGTCACCTCAAGTCCCAAGATCGATGACCATGCAGAGGCTGAATCACACAGGATGCAACTTTCCGATGGTCCATCCGAGCCTCTTCCTCCGCTAAATGAATTGCCAGTTTCAGCAACACTCCCTGAGGTAACAGAAGAGATTGATTCATTTAATACGGCTCAAGAGAAGACCGGGTCCGAAGGCAGTGGTGACAATCAAGGTACTTTGATGGCTGTAGTAGATCCACTTTAGGCGAGTGAGAAGCCAATGCATGTCCCCGACGATGTGGTGTCAACCTCGCCGAAGGAACTTGAACAAGGAACTTCAACAAGTGCCCCGAAGCTGCAAGTAGATCTGAAGGATAGCGATGAGTCGCCTCTTCCGTTGGTGCTGGTGGCTACAGAGGCAACTCTGGCTCAAAAGAATCAAAGTGAAGCGGCATCTGAGTCAGGTCAACAAAACGACAGTAAGGATCCGGACAAGGATGCCATTTCTATGGGCTCCACCTCTGAAGATACTTCTGAGAAATCAAGCAGGAAAAAGCGTGTCTTCAAGCGCTTGGGACTGCGTTCTTCCAAGAGACAGAAGAAGGGAGAGTCATCTGAGTCTCCATCGGTGGCCAAGGTTGTTACATCGCTATCTCGGAGTAAGTCCAAGAGAACAATTGAGCGGAGTGCTGAACTCACTTCTGGTGAGGTAAAGAAAAGGTATGATCTGTTCTTAAAGCGTAAAGTGATTGCTGAGCGACTGGTAGATATGGAGGACACAGATCAATGGAGCTACTTGGCGGTTATTCGAAAAGGGGCTATGGAATCTACTGTCTCTTCTCTTGGGGTTTTTGTTGAGCAAGTTGTGGCTGAGTTTTATGCAGGCCTACCAAACACCAAGGTGGAAGCTGACACTGAAGAGGTGATTGTCAATGTCCGCACCCATTCCTACAAGTTTTCTCCGGTGGTGATCAATGAGGCTCTGGGTTTTGACCCACTCACTAAGGAAGAAGAAGACATTGAGGCAACCATGGATGAAGTCTCTGCCACAGCTCTTGCCGACTTCCTCACTGATGGGACTAGGAAGGAGTGGGAGCACCTCACAACAGCAGATCTTACACCGTGCTATGGAGCTCTCATGATTATCGCAGCTCACAATTGGATCCCATCTACACATAAGACACATGTGTCCCTTGACCGTGCACGATTGATCTACAAGATGGCTCACGGAATTCGTGTCGATATGGGTAAACTGATCTTCAAGCAAATCATTCATCTGGGGATTATACAGAAGAATGATTCTCGGTGGCTGATCTTCCCTCGTCTTATCATGGGTCTACTTCAGAAGCAGCATCAGGTGCCATCTCACTCGGATGATAAAGTGGATCGTGCAATTGCCTACAAGAAGGATAAACGGGTTGGTGAGAATTACGAGCAACGCAAAGCTAAGGGAAAGGCCAAGAAGGATGTTAAAGTAAGGAAGTCTGCTCGTTCGTCTCATCTGCCAGCATCTGCTTCACCAACTCCTACACCAAGCTCCAGATCGAGACCCCGCCGCCTCTCCGTGTATGAACTGGGCTATATTGTGATTCCTCAGGGTGGTCTCACCAGAACTGATATGCAATCAGCCTTACAGGACACCACTCGGGTTCTTCAGACATTGGTTGAGGTTGTTCAAGAGCTTCAGAGCTCGGTTCCAGGTATGATTTCTCTTCTCTGTTCATTACTTGGTTGTCTTGTGATGTGTTTTTTAATCCGTGTGCTCCCAAGCAGGGGGAGAAACTGACGAAGAATGAGTGGTAGAAGGATCTAAGTTTGTGGGGGAGCAGTTTATGTCTTTGTTGTTTTGGTTGCGCCACTTGTTGCAATGTGATGTTATTTCTGTTTTAAGACAATCTTGGTATATGGGGGAGCTTGTTTTATGAACTTTGTTTGTTTAAAAGGATGTATTTTCTCCATACTTTTAGGATAATATAAGTATGTTTTCTATTAGTCACAAGTATCTTATTTATTACTTTCATAAAGGCAGGGTATTTGTTATTTGTATGGTTGGATTCTTCGTGGCATTACATTTCAGGTACTTGTGAGACAATGAATTAAAAAGGAGGAGATTGAAGATGTATGCTCAAGATGGTGATGTAGCAGTGCGGAAGTAGTTCATGAAGTGCGACATGAACTATGACTACAAGACGAGTGATTAAGAGAAGCACGAGTTCTGGAGGAAGTATTAATAAGAGAGTTATTGAAGTCTTGAGTAAAAAGGAAAGACTTGAGGAAGAGCCAATCGAATCTTGAAGAAAAGGGAGATTGACTTATTCGCTGAAGAACAGGAAATGGAAAGTTTCCATTGGAGTTAGATGTGCAAATCTAGGATGTCTCCGCGCATAAAAAGGAGACCTATGAGTTGCAAGAAAACTAACACACAGAGAGAGCTTTTAGCAAGAGAGGTTTTGTAAGTCCGAAGAATGAGAGACAAAGCATCTAGAGGTTAGAAGCTTAAGTAGTTCAGAGACTGTTGTAAGTCTTTGAACGTGTAAGGCTAGTCAAACAAGTCAAGGTTTGTCTTGAGCTTGCTTGTTTAATTGCTTTTATAAAGAAATCATTCTGAAGTCAGTAAAAAACAAAATACTCAAATCCGACGCGTAGCGCCGGAATACCACTAGTAAGTTATATAAAAGCACATACACAAAGTTTACAATCCACATGAAGTTTGGATTTTCTCTAGTAATTAATGTAATTGTGTATTTTTATTTAATAATAAATATTTTTCTTTTAAATAATAGAGGATATACAAAATTTTAGAAAAATTTTATTATTCAAAAATATTGATTTTTATATACATGTTAACTATATTAGTTAATTCTGTAGTTTTTATATAATTATATTTAGATGAACCAATTTATTTGTCTAAAGATTTGTAAGAATCCTTCTTGTGACAACATGTGTCATACTTCAATGTAGTGTTTCTCTTTTATATAAGGGATATTTGGATCCCAAGAATAAGTATGTAATGAAAAAGTTAGATCTCTTGTTAACAAACATATCAAGGGAAAACAATAGCACTTAAGGAAAAGTGATGCAATGAGGTCCATACACGTCTGATTTAGCTGTAATGCTGGTACGTCCAAAGAAACACACCGTCCAACCACATCACTACTTAACAACTACGAAATTTCCATCTTGTTTTCCCTTTTCATATTATTATATTCACTTAAAAACTTTATTTAAAAGAGAAAAAAAAAGTGAATCGCCAACTTATTCTTTTTTTTTTTCCCTTCATTGCAACTCATATACTCGACAGCGACGAACAAACACAAACCCACAAAAAAAAAAGACGAGAAGTCAAAAATATCAAGCAGAAGAATTATCTCTCGAAAAAAAAACACTTTGGGTTTCTCTTCTACAATTTTTAGGGTTTTGTTAACCAAGTGATTGATCCAAAGAATCTAATGTCGCTGTCGAACCAGGTTCTCGCTTTATCTTCCGTTTGCTCTCTGTGACCTGAATCGTCATCTCTTTTTTCAAGTTTTTTCTGAGAAATATCAAATGAGAAATTCTGGGTTGCTTCTTCTCGACCTCCTCTTCTTCTTCAGTCCAATTTTGACAGGTACAGTATCTTCAATCTGATTTCAATAAGATTCTATACTTTCCCTTGTCTTTATATGATGATGATTCTGTATTACGAAAAGAGTGTTGGGTTCTGCTGCTTCTGCTGAATCCGTTTGAGTCGTGGTTGTTTTGATTTTCCAATGGATTGTGTTACTGTGGGTGATCATATCATCTGATTGTCTCCAGGGTTTCAAGTCGAGGGAGCATTTGTTGGCACTTATGGGATAAATTATGGAAGAATTGCTGATAACATCCCCTCTCCGGATAAAGTAGTTTTACTTCTAAAGCAAGCTAAAATCCGGAATGTGCGTATATACGATGCAGACCACACTGTTCTTCAAGCTTTCAGTGGCACTGGTTTAGACCTTGTGGTTGGACTCCCAAATGGCTTCTTGAAAGAGATGAGCTCAAATGCTGATCACGCACTCACTTGGGTCAAAGACAATGTTCAGTCTTTCTTACCAAACACTCGGATCCGTGGTATCGCCATAGGAAACGAAGTTCTCGGAGGCGGTGATTCCGAGCTCTCGGGAGCCTTGCTAGGCGCGGCTAAAAATGTCTACAATGCGTTGAAGAAAATGAATCTGGAGGAGACGGTGCAGATCACAACGGCTCATTCACAGGCTGTGTTTGCTAATTCATATCCGCCATCGTCCTGTATTTTCAAGGAGAATGTTGTTCAGTTCATGAAGCCTCTGCTTGAGTTCTTTCATCAGATTGGCTCTCCTTTTTGTTTGAACGCTTACCCTTTTTTGGCCTACACCTATAATCCGACTCAGATCGATATCAACTACGCTCTTTTCAAGCCAACTGAAGGAATATATGACTCGAAAACCAATCTACGTTATGATAACATGCTCGATGCCCAGATTGATGCCGCTTACATGGCCCTGGAAGATGCTGGGTTCAAGGAGATGGAGGTCATGATTACTGAAACTGGGTGGGCTTCTAAAGGCGATTCAGATGAACCAGCCGCAACGCCCGAGAACGCAAGAACATATAACTATAACCTCAGGAAGAGGCTTGCAAAGAAGAAAGGGACACCTCTTAGACCAAAAACTGTGCTCAAAGCATACATCTTTGCATTATTCAACGAAAATTCTAAACCGGGGAAGAGTTCAGAGACACACTTTGGACTTTTTAAGCCTGATGGAACCATATCATATGATGTCGGATTCAACAGCCTAAAGTCCTATGCGCCCTTTTCATCGTCAAAGGTATGATATACTCTGATGGGAGAATGACTGTGGGTTTGGCAATGACCATATTGATTATGTCTATATGATCTTGGAATCTTATATTCTGATTAAATCCATCTTGACTAGTAGTCTCTTCTGTGTTTTGTTGCAGGCAGCTTCTTGCTATGTGGCATTAGTTATCTCTATCTCGGTTTTCCTCGTGACGATATAACTGCGGAAATGGTATGACATTTGACGATTGGATCCTCGGGTTTTGTCATACATTCGTAGCAATATGTATATCATTATTACTAGGAGCGAGAGGCTAACGAAATGCTAGGAGCACAAATTTATTGGAATACTCGTACACCGTAGCCAAGAGATATATCATCAGAAGCTCTCATATATAGTATAACAATCTTTATGTATACATAAATTTGGCTCTCTGCTTAGATTAAAGGATTATGAATATTTTGTTTTTGGATAAGTTTACTATCTAGAATAATAAACTCTGATTTGATGCTATACATGCAGCCCAAATGCCACATTAGAAAACAAACTCATATTCATCTTGTATGGTCGGGAAAGAGAGAGAAAAAGGTAGAAATTTCGTAGGTATTGTAGAGCAAAGAAAAGCAAAGATGGTAACGGTTTGAGGGATTCTGTTATTAGAACATTAGATAGAGTCTTCAGCCTAAACAGATGCGCATCCTCTCCCTACAGAAGTCAAACATACAAATCCCACAATGCTCAAAGCTACAATATTGAAAAAGAAAAATGTGTTCGTCCTCTGATTCTATTATTCTTCCTGGACCACCTAGCCGAAGCAACTTATCTGCTGCCGACCTCAACCCCTCCGGCCTGCTCGCGTTTGCTTCTGGTCCTGGTGTTTCTCTTGTCGACTCACAGTCTCTGCAGCTCATTTCTACTGTCTCTCTCCCTTCCCCTCTCACCTCTGTAAATCCTACAGTTACCTCTCTTCGGTGGGCTCCTATTCCACTCCGGCGTGATCCCTTCTCCTCTGATCTCCTCATCGCTGTGGGTGATCAACTTGGTCGCATCGCTCTTGTTGACTTTCGCGTCCCTTCTGTCCGCCTATGGCTTGAACAAAACTGTGACAATGCTAGAGGAAAGATCATCGGCTACTGCGGAGTGCAGGATCTTTGTTGGGTATTGGCTCTGCCGGGATCCTATATAGTTGCTGCCATTTCCGGCTCATCTTTACTCACGCTTTACACGGATTCCGGACATGTGTTCTGGAAATATGACGCATCTCCTGAGTTCATATCCTGCATTCGTTGTGATCCCTTCGACTCCCGCCATTTCTGCGTTCTCGGCCTCAAAGGGTTTCTTCTCTCCATTAAACTTGTTGGAATCACTGAAAATGATGTTGCTTCCAAGGAGTTTCACATCCAAATGGATAGCACCGATTTACAGAAGCTAGAACGTGAAGTCGTTGTTAATAGTAGTCAATCTTCATCAGCCGTTTTCCCTTTTTGTTCTGCAAAATTCTCTTTCTCACCACACTGGAAACACATCATCTTCGTCACCTTTCCTAGAGAGCTTGTCGTGTTTGATTTGCAATACGACGCAACACTCTATGTAGTTGCTTTACCTCGTGAGTACGCCAAGTTTGTAGATGTTTTGCCTGACCCAAGCCAAGAGTTTTTGTACTGCCTTCACTTTGATGGCAGGCTCAGCATTTGGAGGAGACAAGAGTGAGGAGCCACACTCATCTCTGTTTCTCTGTTTGGTCTTTTCTCAACGTTGTCTATTTTTTTCTCGCTTTTGCAGAGGGAAACAGGTCCATCTCTTATGTGGAATCGAAGAGTTGATGCCAGCAATATGTAATCTTGCACCATTACCCTCTCTTCTGTCTCTTTTAATCTCTCAGTTGGACTCAACCCTCCAAAACATTAGGAAGATCCATTCAGATCCTGTTTTGGATGCTTCAAAGGTCGATGATTCTTTTTATTTCGGTGATGATGCATTTCTTTGGTTTAAGACACATTTTATATCTATTTCTGATGATGGTAAAATATGGAGTTGGATTTTGAGTGTCAAAAAAGATAAAGATTCTAATCGTCATAGTAATGATGACAAGCGACTAAAGAGCTCAACTGAGACTTCTTTTGAGGTATATGGCGAAATCAGAAACATCACTGTTTTTGTATTTCGCTTTCTTGATTTCTTTTTCTATTTACAGAAAAAAATTCTTTGATGCAGATCTCTTTAGTTGGACAACTGCAGCTTCTCTCGGCAACAGTGACTATTCTTGCGGTACCAACCCCTTCAATGACAGCAACATTGGCTCGTTAGTTGCATCAACAACTCGTGACTTTTGTATATGTTAGATAAAAATGAATAATCGATCATCACAAATTGATGGATTGTAATGTAATGGTTATGAAGGTGGAGGGAACTCTCCTGCTGTGGTAGTACCTCTCGTAGCTTTGGGAACTGAAGCTGGCACAATTGATGTTGTTGATGTGTCTGCAAACGCGGTAGCAGCAAGTTTCTCTGCACACACCTGCCGTATCAGGGGTTTAAAATGGCTAGGAAATTCGAGACTCGTTTCATTCTCTTGTAGTCGGGTAATGAACATATTTATTCCATAAGATTTCAATAGGTTCTTCGTTTCGATTTTTGAACAACTATAATGTTTGCTTTTTCGGGTCAGGTGAGTACACGAACAGGCGGATATATTAATAGGCTCGCAGTAACATGTCTTCGGAGTGGCGTTAGTAAAGGCTTTCGAGTTTTGCAAAAGCCAGAGCGAGGTCCTATAAGAGCTCTAAAGGTTTCATCTTCTGGGAGGTTGATCTCTTTTTAGTAACCTAAAAAACGAGAGCTCGCGGAATAAAACAAACTTATAAGTTATACTTATATCTATCAACCCAGGTTTTCAAATAAAAATAAATGATTTTTCTTTTATGTTTTTACATTTTCTTACTAGGTATCTTCTTATTTTGTTCCGTGGTGATCCAGTAGAAGTGTGGGCAATGGCTAAAAGTCCGCTGATGGTAATCATGCTCTAAGTTAGCTTCTAACGTATTAAATAATAGTTATGATGAAGTAGATTTGTACTTACACTACTTTGACTTGTACTTTCATGCAGATTAGATCACTAACTCTTCCGATCACCGTTTTGGAATGGACGCTTCCAGCTATTCCAAATTCATCTAAAAAATGCCTCTCCAAAAAGCCTTCAATCTCTTCTAACCAAGACACAAATGCCACATCAATTGTCACTGGAACTCCAAAACCAACAGATTTTAGTAAGCTAGTTTCGAATAATATATTTTATTCATATTTTCAATGAAACTTGTTATAAAAAGAATCGCTTTCCAACAGAAGTTGGCACTACTGATGGACATCCCCAAGATGATACTTCTGAAAGTTTTGCATTCGCACTAGCCAATGGTGCACTTGGCGTTTTTGAAGTTTATGGACGAAGAATTCGAGATTTCAGGTTACTTTTGGGAAAACATTCTCAGAGCTTTTCTTCAATCTTGCTCTGACATGTACTTGGCGTTTTTGACATCTTTTCTTTTTTTCAGACCGAAATGGCCAGAAGCTTCTTTCAATACTTTCGATGGGTTTATTACTGCTATAGCATATCGCGTGCCTCATGTTGTATATATTATTTTCTCTTCATATTATCTCTCTAATGAATTTTTAGAAACATCTTAATCAATCATTTAATAGGTCACAGGTGATAAGTTAGGAAACATACGGCGGTGGGATGTAACTTCTGGTAATTCGTCGTCGTTCAACACATGCAAAGAAGGAATAAAGACGATCAAGTTTTCACCCATCTATCCTGACAGTATTAGCAGAGGACGGATCATTGTGCTATTTTTTGACAACACATTCTCCTTCTACGATTTTGTAAGAAACTTCTTTGACACTGTTATACGAAGATATTATTTATTTTTTCCTGATAACTCTACTTGTCTTGTGCATAAACAACCTTACAATTCTTCTGTAAGCAGTGAGCTTTTTATATTTTACTTGTAGGATTCGCCGGATATATTAGCCATTTCCGTTATGCGGCCTCAAATACCTGGCACGCTTATACTTGAACTTGATTGGTTGGCCCTGCGAACTAGCCGATTTGACTCCCTTGTATTGTGTGTAGTTGGAACCGATGGTAGCTTTCGCCTGGTCGAGGTCCTTGTGTAAGTGATTCATGTAACAATTTACAAAAGATAGTTGAGACAAGAGACAAATCCCATGCATAACTGATGTTTCCTTAACTGAACTCCTGTAGAAATGAAAAATTGACAACCCAAATATCCTACGCAAAACCTCCCAGGGAAAAATATCGTCCAGTGCCTTTATGCACTCCTATGCTACTTCCTGTATCGCATGCCTTGGTAAGTGTATTTATATTTGATTTCAAGCGGAGCATAAGAACCTTATCTTATAGTATATTGGTAGGCATTGCGGATGATCTTACAACTAGGTGTAAATCCATCTTGGTTCAACACATCTAGTCAATGTGTTGGAAAACGATCAAATTCTGTTCCAGAAAGAACTTCGTCTCCTAAAGATCTTAGGAATTCCATGATTGATTTCCCCCCAATCGGTGACCCTGCCGTGATAGAAATATTGCTTAAAGTACTAGAACCATATCGTTTAGAAGGTTGGATTCATCTTATTTCCTTTTCTATCATATCTTGTATGATTTTTTTATATGATGATTGATGTTTTACATTTTATTACTGTAAGAAAAATATTCAAAATGCTGATGGCTACAGGCTGCCTACTAGATGATGAGAAAGTAAAACTGTACTCCAGTCTAGTAAATAAAGGTTATGCTGCAAGATTTGCATTCACGTCTGCAATTTTTGGAGAAACTTCCGAGGCATTTTTCTGGTTAAAGCTGCCTTGTGCTATGAACTATGAAGACAATAGAATTACAAGCAAGGTTTCGACGAAGCATTTTGAAGAAGCAACTATGCTAAATAAAATTACATTAAAGGGACCATCAGCTTCAGGATTCGAGAAATTTGGTTCTCTGGTTCGTCATCTAGTGGCATAAACTATAAATCAATACAATTGTGTGCTAACGTTTTTGGGGTTGGTGAATAGAGTGAAGGTCAGCTCAAACTACTGGCTTTTGAACAAAAAGAATTATGGTTATGCGCTAATGAACGAATCCCGTGGCACGAAAATCTGGGAGGGGAAGAGGCCATTCAGAACCGAGTACACGAGTTAGTTATATTCCACCTTATTCCATTCAAAACTAGGAAAGTCTTTTAAAAGACTTGAGCCTAACATACTTTATCTTTGATGAGAAGACTTGTATCAGTTGGAAACTTGGAAGGTGCAGTGAGTTTGTTACTCTCCACTTCTCCAGATAGCTGTTATTTCTATCCAAATGCCCTGCGTGCTGTTGCTTTATCTTCTGACGTGTCCAAATCCCTCGTTGAGTTAGCGGTAAAGGTATTAAGACACTCTCTTTTTTCTTTGTGAATCATATGAGTTATTTCTTTCTTGACATGTTTTCCGAATAAAGGTAATTGCAGCCAACATGGTAAGACCAGAAAGATCACTTTCTGGAACTCATCTTCTCTGCTCAGTTGGAAGATACCAAGAAGCGTGCTCCCAGGTTAGGTTTACAATGTTAACAGGTTTTAGATCCCAAATTTGGCTATATGTTTGCCCCAATGCAGTTACAAGATGCTGGTTGCTGGATCGATTCTGCTACATTGGCAGCTACACATTTAAATGGATCTGACTATGCAAGGTGTTCCCTAATTTTTTTTTATCTGTATGATTAAATTTAAGAATCAGAAAACATGATAAGATCCCGAATTTATCAAAAATGAAAAGAAAAATAACTCACGACAATAAAATTCCCAAAGAGAACTATCTCGATGCCACCTCTATAAATTAATAAGGTTAGAATTTTGAAATTTTATTAATTTATAGAGATATTAATTTACTAAAATTTTCTTTATTTAAATTTCTTATTTTAAAAATATATTTATTCTAAGATAAGAAAAATAATGAATTTTGATTTATAGACATTAATTATTATTTTTTTTGAAATTTAATATTTCTATTTATATTAATTTTATTATATTATTTTGTGTATATATAATATATATTTTATAGAATTTAAATGTGGTTTTAGATATAATATTGTTAAATCTCATCAAAAATATGTTAAGTATTAAGAAAACATAAAGATAATTTCATTGTGAATATAATACAAACAATAGTGATAGGTTTTTTTCTATATAAAATATGTAGATAGACAAATTATTAATTTATAATTTTATTGGGACTATATATTTACATAGAATTTTCTAAAAATTATTATCTAATTATTTTATCGATTTGTGTCAAATTTTGAACTGGTCCAAATTGGGACCGGCAAAATTTATTAATTTATAAAGATTATTAGTTTATCAAATATTAATTTATAGAGGCTCTACTATATATATATATGTATATATATATATATATATATAGTAATATGCTTAAATAATTAAATAAATTGGTGAAAATATTCAGTTTTAGGTATTCTGGTTGTAAAGAGCAGGCTAGGGACATTTCTTTCTCAAAACCTTCCTTTTTGGTGGTTTCCAAGTTTCTCCAGGCCGTCATTTCCATGGTCTCGCCGTTTTCTGGTTAAGAGGATCCTCCATCATTTCTGTTCATCCTTGCATTTTGAATCCTAAAACTTCTAGCACTGATCCAAACCTTGTCCCAAACTGCTCAATTTCTTCAAACAATATCGTCAATTAATGGTACAGCCCAAGTCACGATTGAGAGGATTTACTCAAAAACTCCCAGCCTCTATGGATACTTCCTAAGGGAAGCTCCACATACACTCGGAATACTTTCCTGCCTTCCTATACAAATGAAGGACTTTGGAAATTTCCATGCCACGGTTAATAAACTTTGGTCAGCTCTAGACAAACCGTCAACGATTGACGCAAAATTCATTCATACGAAAATTGTATTGTTTTGAATTGATAATTCTCTGATTAGATCTGGAGTTCTCAAGTGTCACTACTGTCACATAGTGAACGTTCCTCTGCTTTTCCAGAAGTTGAATCCAATAGCTTCATCTCACATAGCGAAACTCTCTACGAATCTATTTTTTACAAAAAGGTCTCATGTTTCTTGGAGACTAGATAGTCTCAGCTCAAAAACTCTAACCAAATACTGAGAGTTGTATTTGTCTTGATGTTGAACATGTGCTTGTGGTAGTAAACCTTGAGGGGATGTTACCGGAGAAGCTCTGTCTTACTGGGGACTTAGAGTCTACCATTTGTGTAAGCAAGCCTTGGCTTCCACAAAATGTTCCAACCGTAATGAATGGGGCATCATGTTAAGGATTGCTACCGATTGAAGAAAGAAGTGTTCACGAGCCCATCAAAGATATTAAAAGGGAATACCGGTACTGCTCAAATGACTATGGGCAACAATGATAGGCCTCGAAAATGCTATGTGAGGAGGAACACTGGTACATGAGGAGCAAGCAAAGATAGATGACGTGTAAGTTGGCAGTTAAGGCCGTTACAAGTCGTTACGTCAATAGAGGGAGTATAAATAGAATAATGATTTGTATTAGGCCATTTGTGCAACTAGTGAGAATTGTAACACATGGTCCTAGTAGAATTGTCTACATGAATTGGTTCTAAACCATTTTTTCGGTTAGAGATTGTACTTGGTTCGTTCAAATCAATGATATACAAGATTGATCGTATCAATTGGTGCGGTGACTCGATTGGATATGGCTACGAGGATGACGGAGGAAACAGCGGCTCAAATCGGTGAACTTGAGGCGTCGATCTATGGTGCGAAGGAGCAGCTCAAACACTTAACCGGTGGTTTCAAATTGTTATTTGAGGCATCAACGACAGCGGAGAAGAGTCTACACTGCAATCAATGGCGAAATTGATGGAGAAATTGACATCGGCGATCCATGGAAAGACTCTGATCACTAATGATAAACTAGAGACTTCAAAACCAATCAATCAGGTCTCTTCGATGAATCTGGAAACAAATCCGGAAGGAAATCATCTAGGTTATCGAACATCTGGTTAGGGATTGTCCAATAGAGAGATAGTTTGTTACGGAAATTTGAGATGCCGTTGCTCGATGGATTTAATTCCTTTCTTGGATTGCTCGAGAGGAAAGGTTCTTTTGAATCAGTCAACATTCGATGGTAGAAAGGATGGAGATCCTTTCTTTGAGTTTGGAAGCGGATGCGTTGAGTTGGTATAACTACGAAGTAGAGCATCATCCGTTTCATGATTTGTTTGATTTCAAGAACATGATGTTGGCACGATTTGCGGAGTCCTATGAGAAAACTCTCGAGAAATGATTGTTTGGGATCCGTCAATTGGGCTATATTAAGGAGTATGTACGCGAGTTTTAGGAGTTAGCGACACAAGTAAAGGTGGATGAAGTTAATTTGGAAGACATATTCTTTAATGGTTTTAACAGAGAATACAAGGAAGTCATTAAAATGAAGAAACGAGTGGGTCTTCCGAATTATATTGCAGCCGTGATTATGATGGAAGATAGTGATTTCTGGAAATTATTTACTGGGAAACCTGTTTGAAAACAGAATGGAGAAACAAGGTCAAGGGGTATCATTCAGAAATGCTCCAGTGAATCAATCAACATGGAAGAATAAGAATCAATTGGCTGAGACGGGATAACAGAGTGGTAAAGGAGGGGATAAACAAGGTAGTCAGCGACAGAACAATACGTTTAAAATACCATATAAACTGTCTGAAGCTGAGTATGCTGCGAAAAAGAGAACGGGCACTTGTTACACATGTGATGAGAAATGGTGAAAGTCGCATCTTTGCAGAAATAAATAGTTAAAAGTGATGGTGGCTCTGAAGGAGGATGATTCGGTAGAAGAAGTAATCCATGATTCAGTGGAAAATGTTAGTGAGATGATTGCAGAGGTCATGGAGTTATCGTTGTGTTCGTTATTTGGTTGGTCCTCACCAAAAACAACAAAGATGTGGGGGTTTGATTGGAAAGATGAAAGTACTAGTGATGATCGATAGTGGTGCATACAGACAATTTCATCTCGCCTAATGTAGCGTCTCAAACTCAACTACCAAAAGAGTTTGACGATAACTTGAAGATTAAAGTGGGAACGGGAATTATAGTGAGTGTCGGGTGTGTGTGTAGAAGGGTTCCTTTAATGGTCCAGTCTGTTGATCTCACAAATGACTTTATCATTTTGGAGCATGGTGGTGTGGATTTGATTCCAGGAGTACAGTGGTTGAGAACTCTTGGCAAATGCGAAGTGAATTGGGAAACACATGAGTTGTCATACTTTGTGGAAGATCAATGGTGTACTTTGATAGGTAATCAATCAATTCAGCTGAAGAATGTTGCTATATATGCAATTTCAGTGGTTTTCCATTTGAAAAGTGTTGAGGAACCTGTTAACAAGTTGAAAATTTGGTTCTGGTGGAGATACAAGTTGTGCTAGAGGAATTTGTGGGAATTTTTGAGGAGCCCACAAATCTACCACCTAAAAGAGGTTACGAACATTCTATAGACTCTTGCCTGGTACTAAACCTATTTGTATTAGGTCATACTGTTGCCCTCACTCACATACGAAGGCTATGGAGAAGTTGTTTGAAGAGATGTTGCAATCTGGTGTGATACGTCCTAGTAGAAGTTCGTATGCTAGTCCTGTCTTATTAGTGAAAAAAAATTACAAGACTTGGAGGTTTTGTGTTGATTATAGAGGCGTTAACAAGGCGACTATTCCAGAAAAAAATTCCTATTCCAGTAATAGACCAACTATTGGATGAGCTGATGGTGCTAGAGTGTTCTCAAAATGAGATCTTTGCTCAGGCTATCATCAGATATGCATGGTAGAGTCTGATATCGAGAAGGCTGCTTTTAGAACACATGTTGGTCATTATGAACTAATATTAATCCCTTTTGGACTATCTAATGTGCCAGCTACATTTCAAGCACTTATGAATGAAGTATTTAGACCGTTACTGCGACGATTTGTGTTGGTTTTCTTTGACGATATTCTCGTCTATAGTAGAACTTTGGAGGAACATATTATTTATCTGAGAAGAGTATTGGAGTTGTTGGTGACCCATCAGCTATTTGCAAACCGAAAGAAATGCTCTTTTGGACAAACCAGTGTGGAGTATCTCAGTCATGTAATCTCTGGAGATAGTGTAGCTACAGATCCTGCCAAGACTTCGGCCATCTCTAAATGGCCAACTCCTAAAACGGTAAAAGAACTTTGAAGTTTATTAGGCTTGATTGGCTATTATAGGCGGTTTGTCAAAGCTTATGGTGTGGTAGCTTGACCCTTGATTGATATTTTGAAGAATGATAGCTTTGAGTGGGGTAATAAAGAGAATGTGACATTTGAAGAACTAAAAATAATAATGATAAGCTCTCCAGTGTTGGCCTTACCCAGTTTTGAAGAAAAATTTATCACTGAGTCTGATGCGTCAGGATATGGACTTGGAGCAGTATTAATGCAGAACCAAAGACCAATAGCATTCTTCAGCAAAGGTTTAGCCGATAGGGAGCAGCTTAAACCAGTGTATGACAGAGAGCTGATGGCCATTGTAATGGCTGTAAGGCAATGAAAGCTTTACTTAATGGGAAGAAGATTCACGACTTTTACTGATCAAAAGAGTTTAAAATTGGCGTATCGGTTAGAGTTGGCGTATCGGTTAGAGTTGCTTCACTCGTGTAAAATACATCATGTATTTCATGTTTCTCAA